AGCGCTGTGTTTGTTATGGTGACCCTTGCAGAGTTCGTGCAGGGCTCGGGGTTTGATGATGTGAGTCTCGCACTAGTATTTTTCTCCAAAGCACTCACAATTTACCCAAAAGTGTCAGATGATGGAGAACGTGACTGTCCAGTTAGAGAGAGAGAGAGAGAGAGAGAGAGAGAGAGAGGGCGAGAGAGAGAGAGAAACATTCCCGTACGAGATGGTGTTGGAGGAAGTTTCAAAGAGAAAGAGACCTGCCGAGCGTTTGTCCTGCTGAGCATTTGTCCTACTGAGCAAAGCTGAACAGGCCAGCAGACACAGAGAAATGGGGAAGGGAAGCTGGGATGTCAGGAAGAAACAGGTTATGGATAATGAAGGGACGCGCGGCACACGGATCTATTTATCTGTAATTCCTGCTTCCCCAAACCCATCTGAAAGTAAACTTAATAATATCAGGAAATATAACTGTACACTGTGGATTACAGCTAAGTCAATCACAAGGGAAAACAATCAGGAAACTCAGATATTTTTCAGTACATTAAAGCATTTTCAGGTACCAAAATAACAACCTTCTCACACCGATTGAGGAAGAACCGTAAGTGCTATTTTCAAACAGCCTTGGATCTTCTTAGTAAACTGTTCTCCCAGCCCTGCTTGCGCTGTAATTACTGCCTATCCAGCAATAACAGAAACGAGGATGTCTTAGGCAATGTCGTTTTCCTCCAGAGACAATGTGAGATGGTGTTCAGAAAGGTGCAGAATTGTGATGTACTTACAGGAAAAAAAACCCTACACAGTAATCAAGTGTGGAGGTTCCAGGGGAAAAAAACAAAATCCCAAACCTTGATTAGAATTTATATATAAAACTGCCTGGAATGTACCAGCCCTATAAATAAACCTGGGGGGAAAAAAAAAAATGAAGCCGCTGTTAGGAAGGGTAGAGCCAGTAGATGGCAGGAGAGACCTTGAGATGGGCGTGCGGGTCTGGTGGCCGCTCTGCAGCCCTCTGTGCTGCCTCCGGGTTTAGCCCTCGCTGCTGTATTTATTTGCCCGATTCCCGAGGTTTCTTCTTCATCAGCTGCACTTAGATCCACGCAGTACATTTATTTTTAGGGACAGCTTTAGTCCTTTTAATACCTCGTTCAAACATGCTGAGTAAAAGCCCAGCTCCGTTGAGTTTAACCGTTGACTTCAGTGGGGTTAGAACGGTCCTTGTTTTTGTTTGATGTGCTGCAGAGCAGGCGTTTCATTTCCAGGAGGGGTCTGACAGCAACTGGTCTGTCCTTCCCCGTCATGCTGCAGCTCCTTGCTCTGGAGCAGAACCCCCACGCCTTCCTAGGAGCCACCGTGTCATTTAAAACCAGCGCACCAAAAGACCAGGTCTGATGGACAAAAGGTTTGTTGTCTTTGTCTAGGATACAAAAGACCGTGCCTCCAACAGCCTTTTGCCTCTCCCCCTGTAATAGCAGGGTCCAATTCTAGGCTTTTATGAATAAGCCGCTAAGGTTTAACCAAAGCTGACCGTGAACAAATTAAGTACATTGTTTTGATTTTTTCCAAATGTATAGTTATTTTACAGTTGGATGAACCTGAAAATGAAAACCTTCAACTTTTAGCAATAAAGTATACTCGTGTGGTTAGGAGATCTAGTGGAAAAATTTACTTTTCATCTCTAGAATCGCTGAAGAACTTGCAAAAGACATATGGGACTATAAATTCATAAGCATTTCTGACTCCATCGAGTAGGTAAGTAGTCATATCCTTCTGATGCAGAAAATGAGGCACAGAAATCCCCAGCCTCATGCAAAACCGCATTATAGAGCTGCAAAGGCAGGATTAGGACTCAAGCCTGGCCTATGCTTAGGCCCGCATCTTTTCTCCTGGCACTAATTTTTTTTAAACAATCCTGGAGTACTATAATTGCAAGGTCATATTCCTTGATTACGACAAAGTCCAGAGTTCATTAATGCATGTCATTGAGAAGCCCTAGGAATGAAAAGCAGAGTGCATAGCAGCCCAGGCTCTGAGGCACGCGTTTTGATACTCGGTAGGCTGTACAGCTTCGGTTTGCTTTATAAGCGAGGACAGGCATGATTTCCAAATGAGGTTTAAATCTGGACTGCAGATATATCCTCCCAGATGGGTTGGAAATGTCTACGTGGTGCATTAGAAACTCCAGAAGGGCTTTTTCACACTTGTACTGCTAATGCTCTTAATTCCTTTGGCAAAACGAGCTGGTTCTAAGTGTTTTGCTCTGCTGTGCCCGCTGCCAACCTCAGGCTTTCCTAACTTTCATTTATTTGGGTTTTACAGCTGCAGCATCGGCGGAGCCTTTCAGCCAGCCCAAGGCGCCCAGCTGGCTCAGCAAGAGGGCACTGACCGACAGGGACTGGGCAGGAACAAGGGCTGCCCCTTCGAAACAGAAATACCCGAATAACCATTGCCGCGTCTCGCCCCTGCCCAGCACCGGGCAGCGAAAGGACCGGGCCTGGGGTCTGCCCGCAGCCGCTTCCCCCCGGCCCGGCTGCCTCACGGGGATGGAGGGTGAATCCCCAGCCGTGCTCTGGCACCGTGGGGCATTTCCACCTTTCTATCCCCGTGTCCGGGACTGCCCGCGCGCTGCCGTGACTTCTCCGTGACTTTTGGGCTCAAGCTGTCGCACGCAGCATCCTGCTGTTGGGAGGTTTATTGCCCACAGCCAGGGGAAAGTGCCGCTAAAGGCGCTTCTGCCGGGGAAAGGCATGAGTTGTTGTTAATGTTATTAGCATTATTATTATTACAATATATCATCATTGTAGAACAAACTCATTTAGGGCTGCTGATCAGTCTCTGCCTTCGAGTTTTTTTCCAACGACTTTAACAGTCTGTAAATTGTTTCTGGAGAAGGCGTTTGCCTTTATGAGCCGCTGGTATTTTTTGTACTGTACATCCCAGCTTGATCATTGTTAATTAGTGTCAGGCTTCTGTGTAGATGACTGTGTTTTACTGTGAGCGGAATTACTTCTCTTACTAATGGCTCCTTGCTGTTACTAAATTCCCGCTCCAGTAGTTGAGCATGAAAGTTCATTTTTCTTCTCTTGCTGCATCTCTTCACCACCTTTGTCTCATCTGAAGTGGTTGACTGGCAAAAGTTTCTCTTTCGTAAACAAGCAGATTAAAGAGAAAGGTGTTGGATTAAAGATGACAGTCTGATCCTATGAAAGTCAGCGGCAAATCTCCCATAAGCCTCAGTGAAAACAATACCAGGAAGAAAAGGGCTCTCCAGGTGCAATATTAGTGTGATCTTAAAGGCAAGGGGAACGCAGTATTCTTCATCTCCTCTCTTGTTTGGGGCTAGCCTTTCTGATGAGTTCGCAAAACGCAGCTTCTGTACAGGGGACTGGTGAACGCTTTGTTCCATACCAAAACACAGCGCAAGGACTCACGTCACTGGTCTTAGCTTGAACACACTTGCATGAAAAAAGCTCCCGAATAGAGCACTGGCTCTCTGCACACAGGCCCAGCTCGCAGGAAGGTTCTCGAGCACCACACACAGCCTACGTCCAGGCAGGGGACCCCCTGTTGCCCTCTGTGGGTTACCCTCAGGAGAGAGGCTTCAGGGCAGACAGGCTCGCGTCAGGGCTGAGCCCAGTGCTTTGAACCAGCTCCTAGTGGCATAATCTCTCCTGGAAGCAAGGAAGCAAGAGCAGTGCCCTGAGAAAAAGTGGGTCTTTTCTAACTTCAAGCTGGTGGCGAGCTGCAACTTGAGAGAGAGCGAGAGGAGCACTGGACGACAGTCATGTTTCTGCTCTTGAAAGAAAAGCACTGAGCAATGCTCTTCTGTAATTGTTCAGCTATTTAGGCTTCAATCGCCTCTCTGATAGCTCAGTTCTGGGTTAGAAAGAAACGTATTTTCTTTAATGACAGTTTCCTGACAGCACTTGGGTTGAGCGGTACCTTGCCCGAGCCGAGGCTTCTCCTGGCAGAGCACTACGCCGGCTGCTGTCGCCTGTTACGGAGAACACCACGGCTCGCTGCACGGCTGATTCCTGTACGGGGCGAAGAGGTGTTGTGCCGTTGCTGGGGGGCTGAAGGCGCCACCTCCTCCTGCTCCCCTGGGCTGGGAGGGAATGGCCTTTCTGCGTGGGCCTGGCGAAAGCGAGCAGACTGCCACTTGGCCGGTTAAACACAGTCTAAGTGTCCTGCTTGTACTTTACTTCAGCTTTATGATGCTATTGATCCTACATATTTTTCTGTATATTACTTTCTTGGAGTATTTGGAATGCTACCGGATGTATTTTTGTTCCCTGAATTTTTGAAGGCATCATTTTCATAGATATACAATAGGGGATGGTAAACCAAAAAAAAAAAAGTTCCTATTCATACTTTTAGCTCATGAGGCAACAGCACATCCATTGAAATGTAAATGAAAATGGGGACTGTGTCACACACTATAGCTCTCTGGAAAGCTACAGTGGGAGTCTAGCAGTCCAATTCATTCCTTTGTAGAATGTACTAAGGCTAATGGTCTTGCTGGGAGTAAAATGTATTTTTTTGCAGAATGGTTCCAAGAACAGACTTTGCTCTTTACCAGAAAACATAAAAGAAAACAAATGCTTACTGTGTCTTTAGTATGCTAAATATGAAATTCTTTGCACAATGGAATGTTAGCAGTAGCCGTAATCATGTTTCCTTTCATCACCTAGTGAACATAATTTTGAGAGAGGACTGCTGTAATTATATTTCAGATAAAAGGAAGCAGAATTTCTGGATAATATTATAGTTGGTCTGATTGTTTTGTTGATAGGGAAGAACAAAGAGAGAGACCACATGAATACTTATTTAATGAACAACGTATTTATTAAGCAGTGCAGACTGTACATAACGCGTTTGACTCTGGATGCAATGCAGTAGGCTTATTTTCTTCAGGCACATTTCTTAATATTTTGCTACAGCTATTACGTTCTTATCTGTCCGGCTCTTCAGTGATTTGTGTGGTACGTCTAAGGCACAACACGAAAGCGTTTGGCTTAACTACAGTCGCCAGTGCAGGTACAATCAACGTCGGCATCCACAGACTCCACAACATCCTCCGATGCAGATTTCTTATCGCTGCTCCTCTGCCATTCCAGCAGGCTTACGGCAGCGTCTGTCAGGAGAGCGAGGCCATTGTTAACTAGCATCGAGCAAATTAACACGTTTCAAGAAAATACTGTTTTGATGGCTGCCAGCTCCCTCAGCAAGCGAAGAATGAAATCCTGCCCCCACAACTGACATCTGACTGACTCACTGACTTGGAGCAGGGTTTTCATCCACGATATAATTACTATCACACTTCCCTAAAATCAAGATGAGTAACATTTCCTGAAGCCCAAAGACGACGGGCAGGAGGCAGAAGAAGTGCCGGAGGTGGCCGCCGTCGGTGTAGGACCACCGCGCACCGGCACGCATCAGCAATCCCTTTTCGTGCGACTGCCGCCTAGCACTGCGTATTTCAGCTGACTGTTTGTCGAAGTTCATTCGGAAGGATAAGCCCTTTGGAGAATTTTCAGAGGTTCATAAACTTCTAATTAAAGTTTCCCATATATTGTGAAATTTGGCAGAGCATTGTCAGTCGCAGCATTAACCTTCCCACACTGCTTTATCAACAGCAGCTTGAACAAGCCATATCCCTTAATGCTGAAATAATCTAAACGGAATAATGACATTCATCCTCCCAATAAATATTCTTAGCTAGTTGGAGGTTTATCATTGCATCTGGGAGAATATTAGGACATCCATTTAGGTTAAGTTTGTGTAATGAGAATGGGTAAAGCTTTCATAATTTTACCTCCATTTGCTTTATCCCTTGGTTGGACAATACATTTATAACGTGCCATCGCTCACCACAGGGAAAGCTGGGGACCACCGTACAGGTTCTGAGTGTACCAGTCACTTATCTCCTGAAATGCTAACAGTCTCCTCGGCTAGACTACTGCCCAACCTGAAGCACAGGTTTTGCATAATAAGCTGGACAATAAATATTGCCCAGAAAGGTGCTGGGGATGCTTTTTAAAAATATATAATATTTTCCAGCTGTGAAATGAGAAATGCTATAAAATGTCCGAGTTCTGGTTTTCATATACATTAATTCTGGTTACGTCTCTTACTCTTGGGCACACCGTGGGTCTGATCACATTCACATCCACGTAGGAAATAGTTCCCTGAGCAAATTGGATCATGGCTGAGTAACTACGATCCCTACGGGCAGGGCTTGTGGCACGTTTGAGATCTAAACCGATATGTGGACTTAATCTGTGAGTGATGTCTGCCTCGGTCAAGACCCTAAGACTACAGTCTCACTGATTTGAAGACAACAAGGAAAAACTCTGCCTCCTTGTACTTTGTTTTGTCCTTGCTCCGCTTGCAGCAGTGATGGGGTCCCTCTCTTTTGGAACAGCGGACTATCGGGTCTGAGTTCTCGTACAAAGAGCTGGGAAAAGGACTTTGTCCAGTGTATGTAGGTACAGGGTTTCAGCTTGAGAAAGGTGAGGACTTTGTGTCCGCTGCTTCTCCAGGGTGTTGAACAAAGAAAGAAAAAGAACAGTCTTTAAGGGCTGGCCTTGCCTTCCTGTTGATTCTTAGCCTGAGGAAAAGCAATCATCTCACTAAAAAACCACAATTGGCATTTTTTTCCCTCCTCCTCCTCCTCCTCTTCCTCTCCCTCCTCCTCCTTTTCCCCTTCCTCCTCCTCAGGATAAATAAATAAAAAAAGCCCTTGATTAGGAATGCTGCTAGCAGACTTCTCAGTCTCTGGTTCAGCAAATGACCCAGAGAAGCCTGCAGTTGCTGTAAAAGCAGCACTGGCTGCAACAACTAACATATATTTTTTTCTGATTTTCCTCTTTTCTCGCACATTTTTGTGAGAGAGTGAGACAGCTTTATTATAGCCTAATATTCTCAGGCAGTGAGTGTCCCGGGGTGATGACATTTCAGAGATACAGACTTGGGCACACAAAAGAAATCCGTGAAACATGGATATGACAAGAGTTTGGAAGGTTTTTTTTGTTGAGAGTGGGTTTTTCTTTTCATAAAGGGATGCATCTATTCACGTCTCAGGGAGCTGTCAGAAAACTATTAGCACTCTCTCTGTGCTACTCGGTGAATAGGCTGTGGTAGACGGTTGACTATTAGAGACAGATACTCATTGCTTTTGTGGGCTGATTCAGCACATTGCAGGTATTAATAACATGAGCAAAGTACAAAGCTCTACACAGATGTTGTTTAAAATCAGACATGAAACACCCTGTTCCTCTCCAGTATTACTCAACACAGGGGACCATTGGCTCCAGTGAAACTACACTGGATTATCCCAGCTAACAATGGATTTGGCCAACAATGGTTAACGCAGAGAACAGACCACTTCAGTAGCTGCTCCCTGATGGAAGGTTTCCCTCTAAGGTATATATAAATGGTGTAATTCATTAAAAGGTTTAGGAATATCTGTAGGTTCCAGGCTGGATTCCATCCCTCATGCTTAGACAACCTCCGTGTGAACCTGCGTTAGGCGGCGCATCGAATGCGTGACAGGTTGGGGTAAGTGAAAGGGGAAAAAGGCCCAGTGTTTTTAAAAACCTGAGTCTATAAAATACCCTCAAAACCAAACCATTTTTTGGAAGGATCCAGAGAACATTCCAGCAACGTGTTTTTCGCTGGTGTACTGCACAGCAGCCTAACGGCAGCAATCCTGTGGCGCTCCCTGACGGACTCCCAGCCGCCTCGCTGGCCCTGACCTACACAAAACCGCAGGCCGCAGTCTGCGTGAAAGGGCTCGGTGCTGCTTGTCTCAACTGTGTGGAGACCCCGAAAACGTGACAAACTTTTTTATCCATCGCTGCTGCCCCTTTGACCACTTCAAATGTTTATCTCAGATGACGGTACCTGCCATCACCTAAACCAGCTTTTAGCTGGCCAGCACGGCCAGTGGTTATAGCAAATACTGGTGGGATTAAAACCAGCAGCTCAGCGAGGAGCTGGA